AGACTTGTGCATAGAGTTGGATGTGCTGTTACTTACTGGAAATGCGGGAAAGGGAGACAACATGCACAAGATTTTGTGAGGGGCACGCCGGAGCACGGGTACGCAGTATTAGAGGCGTACCGTTATATGCTTGAGTTGACAAACCAAGGTAGCAAGACGGCTTTGAAGTGGGACAAATATGATGTTAATATTTTTTGTTGCTTATGGTGCTGCTATAGGGTTTTTTAAACATGAAAAGGTGTTGGCTGTTGATGGTTCCTTTCTGACGGGAAAGTATGGAGGTACATTGTTGGGGCCACTGCACAGGACGGCGAGAATCACACATTCCTGTGCATGGTATGTGGTTGACTCTGGAATGACGATTCATGGACTTGGTTTTTTCAGCAGTTACGTACATAGTACCTACAGTGACGAGTTGTGCATAATATCCGATAGGCACAACTCTATAAAGAAGGGGATTGCCACTATTTACTGTCAACACATCACGGATTCTGTATGAGGCACCTTGGTAGAACATAAAACAAAAGTTTAAGTGTGCTGGCCTCCTTCAGACATACTACATGGCAGCAAAAGCTTATCGGTTGATGATTTCGAGAGCACTTCCAGCAAATCCGAATCAAGGATGTCAGAGTTGCTAAGTATCTTGAGCATGATGTTGATTCGAGAGTGGGTAGAGCTTACTTTCCTGGAAGAAGGTTTGATGTCATGACCACGAACATAGCTGAGTCCATAAATTTGAAGTTGTTAATAAAAAGAGTTTCCGATAGTTGCACTTTTTGATGCAATCCAAAGGACACTGTCGCGGTGGTTCCATGAGCGTCGTAGGAAGTCAGATAATTTTACTACAACCCTTGTTCTGTCAGCTGAAAAATTATTGCGAAACATATGGAACTGTCAAAGCACTGTTTTGTCTATACTCTTAATGCTCAAGAGTTTACTGTGCGCGGCTATGGTCCGGATGCCCTAGTTAACCTTGTTACAAAAACTTGCAGCTGTAAAGTGCTTGACATTCAACATTTACCTTGTCCTCATGCACTAGCAGCACTGAAACACCAACGGAAGCCGGATTTTGGTTCAAGAATTTACATGGAACTTTGTTTCCCTTTCTATAGGACAGATCACTACATGCTAGCATATTCAGAAACATATATCCGTTGCCTCCAGAGCAGTGGATAGTGCCGCCAGAGGTGGCTGACATTATCCTCCAGCCGCCATTGAAGAAGACACCAAGGGGAGAAAAAGGGTTAAGCGTATTCCATCAGCCTTTGAGGTTCCCCAGAAGATGAATAAGTGCTCAATTTGCAAGCAACCTGTCACAAGAGAAGCAGTTGCCTGAAGTAATTAGGTTCGATTCGAAAAGGTGAAATTATTGATTTTTAAATTTTATTGTTACCTTTAATAAATTATCCTTTATTTGTGTATTCTTATTACATGGTCTAAATATTTGTTGTGATTTAGTTTGGAATTAGGCTGTCAAATTGAGGAAAAAGTATGGAATTAATACTGTTGGTAATTTTAGTTTGTCAAAATTCAGAAAAGGTGCAAAGTATATATTGCCCATGATCACTTAAGCGACTAAGTGTTCGCTTAAGCGACAAAGTGTTTTCGTAGAAGGATCGCTTAAGCATACAGAGATCGCTTAAGCGATCGTGCACCTGGACTGACTGATTCTGCCTAGGTGCATGATCTCTTAACGATCCACGATCGCTTAATCGACCATGGGAAAAAGACAATATTCGCTTAAGCGATATCACGGATCGCTTAAGCGATCATGCACCTGGGCAGATTTGCTTCTGCCAATCACATGATCGCTTAAGCGATCCATTGTATCACTTAACCGATTCTTGTGCAAATGGTTTAAAATTTAACAGATACACCCCCACCTACCCACGATGCTAGATTCTTGCCACCGGAGCCGAATCTGACCGGGAAAGGTTTTACGATGCACAGTGGTGATCTGGCCAATAGGCCTCTATATGGCCTTTTCCGTAGATCAACCCCGGATGTGGCCGGAAAAGGCCAACGATCCGCCAGAACTGGCCGTAGATGAACGAAAAATTCCAGAGCTTGCCGTCTGCGATAGCCAAATATATGGCCGTCGTTGTCAGTCAACAATGGCCAACATTTGGCTGTCGTTGATCGTCAAAGTCGGACATTCATTGAAAGTCCATGACGGCAAGATGTGGCCTTTTCCGGCCACATCCACGGGGGATCTGGCCAGAAAAGGTCACAACTGGCCATTACCGACCATTTCTGGTCGTTTGTTGCTGTCGGTGGTAGCCAAAATCGGGAAGTTGGGTGGGCGGGTGTTTTTGTTAATTTTTAAACTTTTTCTGGTATTAATGAAATTAATTCACTTATGTGTCGAAAATTAATTAAAAATATACTAATATTTCCTAAATAATTAAGCAAACAAATATAAAATATACTGAACGAATCGTAACCCCCATATGTTTAGCATAGCCGTAACAGGTGCTCTGAACGACGTAACCCTATAGGTTTCTACTGACGTGTAAAAGAACTATATGTTTTATATAAATGTAATAACGGAACATGCTCTGAACGAATCGTAAACCCTATAGGTTTCATACTGACGTGTAAAAGAACTATATGTTTATATAATGTAATAACGGAACAGGTGCTCTGAACGAATCGTAAATCCTATAGGTTTCATCCTAACGTGTAAAAGACCTATATGTTTATATAAATGTAATAACGGAACGGTGCTCTAAACGAATCGTAAACCCATAGGTTTCATACTGACGTAAAAGAACTATATGTTTTATATAAATGTAATAATGGAACAGGTGCTCTGAACAAATCGTAAACCCTATAGTTTCATACTGACGTGTAAAAAACTATATGTTTTATATAAATGTAATAACAGAACAGGTGCTCTGAACGAATCGTAAACCCTATAGGTTTCATACTGACGTGTAAAAGAACTAAATGTTTTATATAATGTAAACGGAACAGGTGCTCTGAACGAATCGTAAATCTATAGGTTTCTAACTGACTGTAAAAGAACTATATGTTTTATATAATTTAAACGAACAGGTGCTCTAAACGAATCGCTTAAGCGATCTTTTCCGAGGCAGAATGACAACTGCCTAGACTATGATCGCTTAAGCGACCCATTTATATCGCTTAAGCGATTCTTCCTAAAAGACACATGGTTGCTTAAGCGATTTATGATCGCTTAAGCATCTTTTTGAGGCAGAATGACATCTGCCCAGACTATGATCGCTTAAGCGACCCTTTATATCACTTAACGATTCTTCCTAAAGACACTGGTCACTTAAGCGATTTATGATCGCTTAAGCGATCTTTTTCGAGGCAGAATGACATCTGCCCAGACTATGATCGCTTAAGCGACCCTTTATATCGCTAAGCGATTATTCAAAAGACACATGGTCGCTTAAGCGATTTATGATCGCTTAGTGATCTTTTCCGAGGCAGAATAACATCTGACCAGACTATGATCCTTAAGCGACCTTACGTATCGCTTAAGCGATTCTTTCTAAAATGACATCTGCCCAGACCTTGGTCGCTTAACGCTTTAAGATTCTTAAAACTGACCGAACAAGTGCCACCAAATCTCTTTCACCATGCCTCATTCTAGCTAAAATGGCCCTTATTCTGTCAAAAACCTCCCAGCTCGACCTCACCGTCACCCTTGCAGGGAAGTAGGGTACCTTCTCACTATAGGCTCCAACTCGTACTCTCTACAGTTTACGGTCCGCACAATCTGCAACATCGATATAAATAAAATGTCATCAACAAAAATAAAACAAAACCACTGTTCCTTAAGCGATCTCGGATCGCTTAAGAGATCTTTACTCTGCCTCATACAAGATCCTTAAGCGATTTTAAATCGCTTAAGCGACCAAGAGTTCACTGAGAATCTCTAAGCGAACAACAGATCGCTTATTATATCTGTGATTCTGCTAGACCTAAGATCGCTTAAGCGACCAAGAGTAAACACTCATGATCGCTTAAGCGATCTTAGGTCTGGGCAGAATCATCTGCCCAGATCTCAGATCGCTTAAGCGATCCTTTTATCGCTTAAGCGATCATGGCTGCGATCACGAGTAAAACAGATATCGCTTAAGCGATACAAATGATCGCTTAAGCGAAATTACAAGCAACATTCCCAACTACACCTATCTTCGTCGGCTTCTCCTCGTCGCCTGGATCCTCCTCCGACTCCTCCTGGCCTGAATTCTCGCCGGAATCCACTCCTGGCCTGAATCTCTCCGAATCCACCTCCTGGCCTGATCCGCCTGACTCCTCGTCTTCAGACCCGTTGTGCTAGTTCTTCCCTCTGTTCTTGTGCCGCTGGCATCTCCTCTACGTGTGGACCACCTTCATTGTCAGATGATCCATCGGACAGCCATTGAACTGCTTGTGCCACCGGAATCTAGGATTCGAAGTGGCGTTGGGCTTCCCTCCTCATTGCCAGTGTCACTCATGGTTTTGGATTGAATTGGTGTCAAAGTTTGCAGTTTCGATCGGAAATGTGGACTGTATCGCCGGAAATGGCATAGATTTCGTTTACGGTTAAGGAATCGATTTTAGGGTTCAACAATCGATCGAAAATCGTGACTATATCTCCCCGAAAATCGCGACTGTATTCGGTTTAGGGTTCAAGAAATTGATTTAGGGTGCAAATCAATTGGTGTTCGATCAGAAAAAATCGCGTCTCCCTTTCGTTCAAGAAATCGCTTTTTGAACTGATGAATTTCGATTAAGCGAGGTGAATAGTTAGTGGGGCTTGTTTTGTGAAATTTCAAATTTTAAAAACTTTCATTATTTCTGATTCGGCCCATATATGTTTTAATCTTTTCATTTTAACCCATTTTACGTGTTTAATTAATCTTAACTATGCCACGTCATCTTCTCTACATTAAAAAAAAATGATGAACAGTTTCAAGGCCATTTTCTTAAATAGGAACTTGGGTTGACCGGGCAGCTAAATTTTCTCCCGTTTTCAGCTCTTTGAACAATGAACTTGACAAAACAAGCTATTCCTCACTTGGAAAACATTCAACGCTCGATCTTTCATACCCTCAACTCACTCAACTCATCTCTGTCACAGACACAACAAGCGCATGATCACATTCTCAAAACCGGCATCTCTAATGACATGGATCTCGCAACAAAGCTTCTGTCTCAATATGCAAATCACCAAGACTTCGATGACGCAAACCAAATCCTTTCTTCTACTCCGGAGCCGACAACCTTTTCTTACTCTACTCTTATCTACGCCTACTCGAAACAAAATGTTTTTACTCAATCGCTTCGTGTATTCGCTCAAATGCTCTCTCACGGTCTGGCACCTGATACTTACTTGTTGCCTAATATTGTTAAGGCTTGCACTAGATTGTTGTCATTGGAAACTGGAAAACAAGTTCATGCAATGGTGTTTGTATACGGATTTTATTTAGATTCGTTTGTTCAGTCTTCTTTGATTCATTTGTACATTAAATGTCAGAACATTGGGGACGCTCACAAAGTGTTTGATAGATTAGCCCAACCGGATGTGAAAACTTTTAGTGCTCTGCTTGCGGGTTACGCTCGACAAGGGTGAGTGGATGTAGTGAAAAAACTCTTTAACGAGATGGGTCGTTTAAGAGTGGAACCTAATGTGTTGTCTTGGAATGGTATGATTGCAGGGTTTAATCATAGTGGCAATTATGAAGAGGCGGTTATTTTGTTTCGAAGGATGCATTTTGAAGGATTTACGCCTGAGGAGCATAGTGTTTCTAGTGTTCTTTCAGGTGTGGGCGACTTGGAGAATCCCAAACTTGGGTTTCAGATTCATGGTTTTGTGATTAAGCAGGGTTTGTTAGGGAACGAGTGCATCATTAGTTCACTTATTGATATGTACGGAAGGTGTGCATGTACATGGAATATGTCCAAAGTGTTTCATGAAATGGAAAATCTGGATGCAGTTGCTTGCAATGCTTTTGTTACGGGTCTCTGTAGGAATGGTCTTGTTGAAAATGCATTGGAGGTCTTTAGGCAATTCCAAAGCCAAGGAGTGGAATTAAATGTTGTGTCTTGGACGTCAATGGTTGCTGGTTTCTCACAGAATGGGAAAGGTATTGAGGCATTGGAACTTTTAGAGAGATGTAGACAGTGGGGATAAAGCCAAACAATGTTACAATACCTTGCTTGCTATCAGCCTGTGGAAGTATTTCAGCATTGATGCTCGGGAAGGCGGCTCATTGCTTTTCTATCAGAAGAGGAATATCTGATGCTATGAATGTGTCTGGGGCACTAATTGATATGTATGCAAAGTGTGGAAGGATTCAAATGTCACGACTTTATTTTGATAGGATATCATCCAAAGACTTGGTTTCTTGGAACGCGCTAATGGGTGGATATGCTATGCATGGAAAGGCTAAAGAAGCTATAGAGATTTTTCATTTGATGCAAAGGAGTGGACAAAATCCTTCTTCTATTAGCTTCATTTCTGTATTATCCGCCTACAGCCAGGCTGGCCTAGCTGATGAAGGCTGCAAATTTTTTGATAGCATGTGTAAAGAGCACGGTATTGAAGCAAGGATGGAGCACTATTCTTGCATGGTGACCCTTCTAGGTCGTGTTGGAAGGCTGGAAGAGGCATATAATATGATTGAGCGAATGCCTTTCGAGCCAGACGCTTGTGTTTGGGGAGCTTTGCTTAGTTCTTGTAGAGTTCACGGTAATGTGAATATAGGTGAGGCTGCTGCTAAACATCTCTTTGAACTGGAACCTACAAATCCTGGGTACTACATCCTTCTGTCCAATATATATGCTTCCAAAGGCATGTGGAATGAGGTTGATGCAGTGAGAGATATGATGAAAGCTATAGGTTTGAGGAAGAGCCCTTGCTATAGTTGGATTGAGGTCAAAAACAAAGTGCACATGCTTCTTGCCGGAGATGAATCACATCCTCAAATGGCCCAAATCATGGAGAAGTTAAATAAATTAAACCTGGAGATGAAGAAGTCAGGTTACTTTCCACATGCTGACTTTGTGCTGCAAGATGTGGAGGAGCAGGATAAGGAGCAGATCTTGTGTGGGCACGGTGAGAAGTTGGCTGTAGTGCTTGGACTTCTTAATACTCCACCAGGAGCTCCTCTTCAAGTGGTTAAGAACCTAAGAATGTGCGTTGATTGCCATGCTGTTATAAAATTTATATCTAGTTTTGAAAGGAGAGACATATTTGTCAGAGACATTAATAGGTTCCATCATTTTAAAGATGGAGTTTGTTCTTGTGGGGATTGTTGGTGGAAAAATTTTATGGCTGACTCACAAATTGAAACGGAGGAAGTGAATTTGTGCAATTGAGTCCTTTGGTGATGTAGGAAAAATATTGTTTAATTCTGATTTGCCACATTGAGTAATCTCGGTCAGTTGGTGTCTTTGTGGATCCCATGATGTAGTCGATTGGGAAACCGTGGGAATTCATGGAAATTATGGCCAGCTTAGGTTTAGCCACTACCTGCAAATTTCGGAGGACTTAACGCAGTGGGAGTAAATGTTACAAGATTCTAAATTAATCTTTTTAAATAAGTTGAGTTTTTTGTTCTCATTTGGGTTCTTATATTTGTAAGCCCATTCAACTAATTTCTATTTATACACCTATCTCCTTACATTTTACTGGAGTTCACTTATTGAATGCGATGGAGTCAATTATTGATATGACATCTAATGGCAAGACATGATGCAACATTGAAATTAATGTAGGTTAGAAATAGGATAGCAGTTTCTCTTAGAAGGAAGTGAATGCTACGTGTGAGTGCGTGTTGACGTATGATGAGTTTTGCATAGGATGTAATGATGTGGAAAGAATGGGGTTCTGAGGAATATAAGCATTTGGAGAGATAGTAGAGGCTGGTGTTTATTTCTAATTTCCATCCAATGAATAAAAGACAGAGAAAGAGAGAGAGTGATGAGAAATGAGATGAGGGAAATGAGCTCGGAGCAGCGCGGTTCAACCAATCACAAATGGCAACTCTCATGAGGAGAAGCTACCTTCCTCCACTAGATTTTCAGGTCTCTTGGCTTCAAAGGATCGTGATTTTCTCTTCTCTCCAAATGGAACTCAGGTTAATTTTTCTTCTTTCTCCTCACTTTTGCTCTCTCTTTTGTTCTCTCTTTTGTCCAGCTTTTCTCAGTTTGCAGTCAAGGAGCTTAACTGCTCTAGGAGCCTCTTTATCATCCATAGGTTGATAACTATATTCACAGCTTGCTAGCTTTCGTAGAAGATAATATATTATTCTCTTGTATTTTCTTGGTGTGTTTTATTTGTAGAAAGAGAAAAAATAAAATTATATGACAAACATAGATCGAGATCATCTCTTTCTTAATTCTCCAGGTTTTCTAGGGATCACATGCATGTGGCACTGTAACTAAACAAAATTAAAAAAAGAAAAAAAAAAGAAAAAAGACAGATATTGATAATTCATATATTTAGCTAGGAACTCTCTAGAACCATATAATAATATATTTTTCTATCTAATTTAACGTATTATTTGAAGTCAAAATTGCAAATTAATATGATTCATAATTTATTTTACCTCATAAAGTTGTTTGACTATTAGACAAGGTTGTTGAACGTATAAATTACTAGGCAGCCAGATAATCTTATAAGTTATGATAAAGATGCTAACTAAAGCCTGAAGGTTTGCAATAGATAAACCTTTTAATTATCATAGAATATTCTCATTAATTAACTATCAGATATATTGCAACCGTTTTTAAGGCTTTCTTTGACTTGGCAATAAATTTTGTAGGAAATCATCCTACAATTTTTTATTCATTTTTTCTTGCCCTAAAACCAGTTTAGATCTTAAAATCTCACCAAACTGATTGCTGTTCACCGGAAAATTCATGATGTAGTATATTTTATGTGCTATTAGGATTACCATTATCAAACTTGTTTTAATTGTGGTTTGGGAACGAAGCTAAGATGCATCTGATAAGAATCCTAGAGTTAGCTGTTGAAAAACTTGTCGTTTGAGAACTCAATTATGTTTGAGTGTACTGCACATGTGGACAAACCGCTTGAGACTGATGAGACTCCAGCAAACACAATAAAAAATACACACACAGCACACTCAACAATCAAAGAACAAACATGATCAACAAAATGTATATTGATTCAAAGTTAAAACAATTCCTGGAGAGTCACAATCAGACCCAACCAGAAGCAAAAACAAAGAGGGGATAGTTCCTAGCAATTCGAGGAGCTAGGGGCCTCCATTGACAACTTTAGAGAATAATCTCCCCCTATTCCCGATTCTAACTGCCTTTATATACTAGTGACCTTTTCCCATATTCCCTCCTAACACAATCCTGCCACGTGTATTTCCTATAACCATATCCCACTGGCCCAACAATCCTTAGTGTTTATTCACACTCCTCACCCCCTTCTGCACTTTGTGCCCCTTGTATTGATAAACCTTAGTAATAGGGGGCCTATCAGAGACCTGTATTCTTGTAATGCTATTTATGTTACTTTTGGCTGATGTTATTTTACATAGCTGGCTGAATAATGCCATGTTAACGCTTAGCCAACGTTATATGAATTCAGATAATGTGTAGTGTCATTTGCTTGGATTAGATAAAAACATGCTGTTTTAAGTTTAATGATCAAAACACATATTATTTCTTTCAATTTTCTAATTATGTGGAGAATCACAGTCTTGTTAGCCAGTTAGTAAGAATTGATGAATGATATAGATGATATAAATGTGTCAGATTTGAATTTCTTATTCCTCTTATCTTGATCGTAATCCAACAAAGCTTGAAACAAGAAACATGGTAGAATAAAAAGATATTCATATCCTGTTTGTTGTTGTTCTTGTTGTGGTTGTTGCTATTTTAGGGGAGGGGTCCCTTTTGTGGGGTGGAGAGGGTTGTTTATGAAATGCTAGTTGTCACGATGCTCAACATGCAAAATATGCAGTTGTAATCAATATGGGTTCCTTCACTGTACATATTCAAGAACAACCAATTTGAGTGGACACGTGTTATCAACTTTGTATCACTCTAGCCTCACATTAACGCTATGTGTACAACACTTAACTCATCCGCACCTACATTTATAAAAATTGGTGGCACATCAGTTTCCAGGCTCAAAGTTTTTGTGTAATTGGATTCTCGCTAGCTTGACAGTTGGCCTTACCGTTTTCATCCGTTTTCTCTCATCCAGTTTGTCCTTACTTGTCATCAGATCCGTTAATATCTTGGTCATTGCGTTGATATCCTTATTCCTAATAATTAGATGAGCTGAACTCTCACAATCATGCTGAATAACATAATAGTATTCAGCCAAATCAAGTTATATATATGTATATGTATATTTATGGCTTAATGTTTTAATTGGGTTATCCTAGAATAGAAAATAATTGTAAATTGTGGGAAAATAAATTTGGCCAAACTGATTTATCTGAACTGTGAAATATTTGTTTACTTTGTGTAGGTGAAGGTTTCTGATCTTGAAGGCAAGGTGACTGCCCTTTACTTCTCAGCAAACTGGTATCCACCATGTCAAAATTTCACCGAAGTCCTTATTAGTGCATATGAAGAGCTAAGGAATAGTGGTCTGGTTTCGAGATTGTGTTTGTGTCATCTGATGAAGATTTGGATGCCTTCAACAACTATCGTGCATGCATGCCATGGCTGGCAATTCCATTTCTGATTTGGAGACAAAGAGGGCCTTAAACAGAAATTCGACATTGAAGGTATTCCTTGCTTGGTTGTTTTGCAACCTGATGCTGAGGATGATGCAATATGGTACAATGGTGTTGAACTCATTTATAGGTATGGGATAGAAGCCTTCCCGTTTACTAAGGATAAGTTGGAGCGAGGTATGTTCATACAACATAATCTTTGTGTATAGTGTTTATCTATTCGTATCCAAATGAAACCGTAGTTGTACGACATATATTATTCTAGTTCTTCCACATACATATGTTAAAACTCCAATGGAACAACTTGTGTTAGTGATTATGAAACATGCTACCTGTTGTACATGTTTGGTAAAAATCCTAATGTCTTGAGGTAAACTGCATTTGAATTTACAGCTGAATTGAGGCAGACGATGAGAGAAGAGATGGAGAAACATCGTGACTGCAACAACAAACAGAAGATACGTTACTTGATTAGTGAAGGTTTATAGAGATAAAAACATCTGGAATGAGATGCTTAACATGCGGTGTCACTCCGTAGAAACTGCATTTGGAACGTCCAAGGACATGAAACTAATGGAATATTGAGACAAATGACAATGCAAGCTACGAAGGTGGGAGTTCTGTTTTTGCACTTCTAGTAGTTTTAGTCCGTGTATCTTCATTGGAGCTGGTTTTTGCTCTGCTAAACTGTGGAAATATTTAGCAATTTTCCCTTGTTACGGATTTAGAATTTGTTTATTTTTGTGATTTATATATTATATCCACTATGCTAAACTGTCCTGAAAGCATGCAAGTGTAGAATTTCCATAGCTTGGAAATTCATGTTGAAATGTATATAGTATCTCTTTCTATTCTCTTTCTACACCATGCTATGTTATAAGGTTTTTGCGATGGGAAACCCGTGAGTGACAGAGATGCCTACATACATGCTGCCACAGTAGAGAGATACAATATTTGAATAGTCCGTTAGTAGTGTATGTGGACGAGGACTGTACCCAGCAGAACATACCTACATGCACGCTGCCATGAGCGGCCACAATAGAGAGATACAATATTTGTACAGTTCGTTAGTAGTGTATGTAGATGAGGAATGTACTTACTCACATGGCTAGGGTTCCAAATCTATGCATCAACCTAGTCCGATCGGCAAACTAGATTAGAAGAAAGAAAAAAAAGAGAAATAGAGAAGAAAAGAAAGAGATATAACATAAGAGATAGGAAACAGAAAAGAAAAGAAAGTTCTTTTCTCCAGAAAGTTTATTATTCTACATATGCTACTTACATGATTTAGTATTTTTTATGTGTTAAACAATGTACAGTTTTATTCATTGTCTTTGCACGTTGATAAGTAGCAAATCAGAATATCAGAAAAGAATGAAGAATATTATCAAAGAATAAAGTGAGAAAAGGAAAATCAGAACATGAGTAATGGAGGAAACACAGTAGTGTAGTTTGGTTTACTTACTAAGCAATTAGTGCACACTTCGTTATTTTACTGTTTTGCAGGTATTAAATAATTTACGACCGGGTGGGACGTCAAGAAGCGGAGGAGTTTGGCGGCACTGTTCAAGATTACCTTGTGCTTATTAAAGTATATCAGTATTTTGTGTATATATTTATATGAATTAAAATTAGAATTTTCATATTTTACATTATGTATATATATTTACAAAAGTTATTTACTGGATTTTATCATATATTTCTCAAAGAATTACTAGCTATACCGTATATTACAATTTCACTTATATAGTGTCACTTAATTAAAACCCTAATTCAATAGGAATAGCCATGGACTCTTAAGTTAATCCATCCTTGCAACCAAATACACCCTTTATGGTATTTTAATTTTAATTTTAATTGATTATTAATATAATTAAAATCAATTAACATATATATATATATTAACATTTAATTATTAATAATAATCCATTTAAATATATGCGCACATATATTTAAAAATAATCTCACTGATTTTAATTTTAATATTAAAATTAATACAGACAACAACCTCAGCAAATTTAATTGCACTGTGAGATTATCAAAATACCATTTCGTCCTAAAAGATGAAAATACCCCTTTCACAAAAACGATTCTTAAATTATTTTCTAAGTGTGTGACCCGTAGGTTCCTTATAATATCGGTAGTGAATAGTATCGTGATTAACACCAATTAATCGTCTTATTACTCGCAGACCAAGACTGGCCCCTAGTAAGGCATCATGGCCACCCGATAGATTCAGATTCAACGAAACAACTACCTATCAATGATATAGTTACCATGCAATCAAATCCTTTCATCATCTGTTATCTCATCGAGACTGAGGTACAGAAATAGTGTCAACCTCAGTTATCCTCGATATCTATGTATTCAGTTACTGGACCAATAACCAGAATAATAAATTGGATTGAGCAACAAGTCAATCCCACTGTGGTCATAACTTTAGTGTCATTGCCATTCACTGAATTGAGCCGTGAGATAATTTCTTTCATACCCGGGAGTGATGAATCCTTTGTCAATCCACTACAGTATTGATACAGTCCTTGATGCAGTCAATCACTACCATATTGATAGCTTTGAATAGAACTACGTTAGGCTAGTGTCAAACTACACCAATCGATGCACAAGGCGCTTTGGTAATCTCAAATCTAAGGATCACATGCACCAGCATTCGTTAGATGATTTATTCCATAGACACTGGGGTTACTATCTATATGGAATCCTCTGGTGGGTCTGTCCAGTGAACTTGCCTCCAACACCATACGTTGCACTAGGTTGTCGGCAAACAATTTTGATAAGTGAGATCAGTCACTGCCTTTCGACAGGGTCGTTCAACGCTACGATAGCGTTACTATATTATATGTTTCCTTGATCAGAATAATACTGGGGTTATGGACATTTATAGAATGGCCACCACATGTGATCGTAGGGTTCTCACTATCAAGATTTGAAACACTTGATACCCTTGTCACGGTTCTACTATCCTAAGGACATATATAATTACATATAACTATGATTTACACGATATAGAAGGATATGCCTTTTTTATTGATGAATAAACATTTATTATAGAGTCAAACTCACAATAATAGATTGGCTCCAGGGCACATACACTAACAATTCTCAGTTCATAGATAATATAAGCACAAATGAGAAAAACTCTTCCTAAGCTACTAACACTTTAAAGGCAGTAGAGCAAGACATTAAAAGTCTAAACCAGTGATGTTAGATGCTTCTAACAATAATAGAGGAGCGGTCAAAGGTAAAGGTAAGGTTAAGTCCAAACCCAAACCTAAGTCCAAACCTTAAGATGCTCTTAAGTCTTAGGGTGACATCAACAAAGGTAGGAAAGGTAGTTTGCTTTTGCTATGCCAAGCATGACCACTAGAGGAAATACAGCAAGGCCTTCCTAGAGAATAGAAGAAGAGGGCTTCTTCTTCTAAAGGTGTGTATTGAGACTTATCTTTTGTTACATCTTGGGCCACTGACACTAGATGTGGTTCTCACAATTGTAATAATATACGGCAGAGTAGATTGCTTGGTCAAGGAAATGTGGATCTACTAGTTGGAAATAGAGCACGTGATGTTGTATTAGCTGTAGAATCTTATTGTCTAATTTTGCCTATGGGCTTGTTATTTGGAACTTATGGATTATTATGATTTTTCCTTAGTTTCTAGAAATAATATTTCTGTGTCCACCTTCGACAAGTGAGTGTTGGATATAAAGAAATGCTCAACAGTGCGGTTTTTCACTTAAGTTAGAGTAGATGCCTATATGGTGAAGTCTGTCCTCTGTACTCACTAATTCAACTAAGAAAAATCCAGAAAAGTTCCTAAACTTTTAGCTCCTTTCTTCTCTGATTTTCTCTCTCAAAACCTAATCTCACATGGTATCAGAGCACTATTAACTAACATCGAACATGGCAATGATACTTAAACCTTTCGATCTAACAATCTTGAAAATGTCATTCATAAATCATCTAGCTTACCTTTCTCAAAAACCTTAGCTATTTTGGTGCTCATTTATCATTGTAGTAAATATCACAACATTAGGCTGCAAACCTCTTTGATTCATCAATTCCAACAACCCATTAGCTTCCTCCATCTTCCCCTCCTCGCAAAGCCGACTTATCATTGTAGTGAATGTCACCACATCAGGCTGCAAACCTCTTTGATTCATCAATTCCAACAACCCATTAGCTTCCTCCATCTTCCCCTCCTTGCAAAGCCCATTTATCATTAAATTAAAAGTCACCACATTAGGCTGCAAACCTCTTTGAATCATCAATTCCATCAACCCATTAGCTTCCTCCATCTTCCCCTCCTTGCAAAGCCCATTTATCATTAAATTAAAAGTCACCACATTAGGCTGCAAACCTCTTTGAATCATCATTTCCATCAACCCATTAGCTTCCTCTATCCTTCCCTCCTTGCAAAGCTCTTTTATCATTGTAGTAAACGTAACCACATTAGGCTGCAAACCTCTTTGAATCATCAATTCCAAAAACCCATAAGCTTCCCCCATCTTCCCCTCCTTGCAAAGCACGCTTATCATTGTAGTAAACATCACCACATCAGGCTGCAAATCTCTTTGAATCATCAATTCCAACAACCCATTAGCTTCCTCCATCTTTCTCTCCTTGCAAAGCCCATTTATCATTGAATTAAAAGTCACCACATTAGGCTGCAACCCTTGATCTCCCATCTCAATAAACAAATTCTCAGCCTCCTCAAAATTTCCCACAGAGCACCAGCCGTAAATTAGAGAGTTACAAACAACCACATTTGGCTTAACTCCTCTACTCTTCATTTCCAAAAACAATTCTTTTGCCTTATCTACCAACCTAGCTTTGCAAAGGCCACTGATAATACTACCATAACAAACAATATTAGGCCTGACCCCAAACACAACCATTTTCTTGAGCAACTCCATAGCCTTCGAACTCCTATTCTCCAAACACAAACCTTTAATCAAAGAATTAAAAGTCACAGCATTTGGGTTAAACCCCACCTCAAAATTCTCCAAAAAACAACAAAACCATCACTAACTCGACCCACATTATAAAAACAATTAATCAAAATATTTAAGGTAATTAAATATGGCATCAACCCCATTGAATCCAGTCGTTTGTAAAGCAAAATAACGTCTTCATAAAACCTCTTCTTAGCAAGAGCTCCAAACAACCGGTTGAATGATGAAATTGGTGGTTTGGGTTGCATATGAATCATTAAACTAAAGAAATAGCGTGCGTCAGCCAGAGTGATAGTACCTTGTTTATAGTTTTTTCGAAGGAATACATCAAGCCTTGCTACATCTTCAACGTTATATATTGAATCTTGTGGTATGGTTGTAATCAATTTACATGAATTTGTGAATAAAGATGAGATTTTGGTTTCAGAAAGAAAAGAAAAACGATGAAGAAAGGTTTTGAAGGCCATTTGGGTAGCAGCGTTTGTGGATTATCTAGGGTTCAAAGCGACTTCGTTTTACGAGAGTGGGGTAAAATGCATTTATCTAAAACCTGTTGGGTACAAATGTAATTATCCAGACACAGGTTGAAAGAAACAAAATTATAATAAAAATTGAGTTATTTGCTCATATTTTAGCCTACAATGTTTTCATAATTGCCTTTTTGTTTATTTTTTAGGTTATTTAAATTTGTTTTTTCATAGGTTATTTTAATCATTTTTGTTTAGAAGAAAAATATAAAATAAATCATACAAACGAAAATATCCAACATTTTAAGTATTACTATTAAATAACATTAATACTATAGTATATATTTAATCTTA